TATATATATTTATAACAAATATACATTATGTATTTTCTAACTCTACCTAGAAAAATATTTTATTCTCTAAATTACATCCTTTGTATTACAGCTAGTATATTAAATGGAAAGGGAAAATATAGGTTATTTTCTTAACACAGGCATAAACCGTAGACTTGGAGTCAGAATTTTTCACATAGGGTCCATTTAGGAAGATCAAGATAACATTTATTTTTATGTCAGTTCATAAATGCTCAGTAAATAATGGACCACAATAGACCAAAGTTTATAGAAGGTAATTAGTATAGTTAGACTCTAAAGAATTGTTCTTTAGTGTGTCTTACTGGCTCCAACAGAAAACAGTATTTATCTTGTTAGTTGCAGGTAAATACTCAAGTATGAAAGATTGCTATTATTTGTTTTAATATTTGAATTTTACGATCTCAATAAACAAATTATATCTGGGGTTATGATCTCATTATTTCACAGTGTTCAAAAAGTTGACAGTAAGTGGGAGAAATATGCATGACCGTGATGAAAATTCTGAGTGCTTCACAAATATTAAATTTTCATCAATAAGACAATACGTAGATATTAATTTCTTTGTTTAACAAATAAAGACACAACAGAGTAGAGTGTTTAGGATCCTGTCTAACACCATGCAGCAGTAATGGGACGGAACTGAGTGTCATGCCTGAATTTTACTCCTCACAAACTAACAATGATTCTCATCGGCTTTCTTCGCACAACAAGGCTGACTTTAACTCAATGTGATTTAGGCTCAGCCACCACATGATGAAGTAGAAGTGGAATAAAAAGAAAGTTTACATCATTACAGCCAAAGCTTTAAGACCAGAAGGAGTACACCTTCCAGTCAGCCTACCTTTGGGGGATTCATTAGACCCTTGATTAGAGTTGAAACCCTGACCTTACAGTCCTAGTCATTCCCATATCCCAACTTATTCTCCATGCCTTTTGGCAATATCGTGTGTCCCTGTGGGCCATTGTTCCAAAGCAGGCACTTACAAAGAGAAGACATCACGGTGTTCTCAGCAGTGCATCTTGCCTATAATGCTGGTCTTCTTAATACTAAACATATGTAAAGGTTTTATTTTTCTTTGTGATGAATGCCTTCCCAAAAAGCCTCTCTTGTATACCGAACCTTGATGGAACTACCTTACCGGTGCTCTGGGCTCAAGCTAAGATACTTCCTGTCTTGGATTTGCCTCTCTGTTGTACCTCTGAGACCCATGAGTCTCCTCAACACTAAGTTATATCATAACTCACACACAGACGGTAAGGATTTTACAAACTACATCACTTAACTTTTATTTCTAAAGGATATTAGTATGTGAATCACACTAGCAAATGTTATTTAAAGACACATTTTATATTTTTTATTAGGAGTGTAAAAAGATAATGAGACAAAATGATCATGTACTAAGATTGAATGCTCATAAAACCCGGATTGTTTTAATGATTTGTGAATTATTAAAATATTTATGGAACAACAACAAAGTCTCAAAAGCATCAGGGATTTGAACTTGCAATTTTTAAAATTTTGTTTTTATTTGGTTGGTAGTACTAGGGAGATCTCTACCAGAGATTGAAGGACAATGCAGAAGAGGTTAGATCTGAAATGCCTCCTGCTGAGAAACAGAACTGTAAGAAGAATCCTACATAAATTACATTTTATACATAGGTATGATTCCAAAAAAAATCTTGTGATAATATTTAGGATAGGAAACAGATGCAAAAATATTTAATCCATAGAGTTTTTTTTTACATTCATGCTCTTATACTGGGAATTCTCATCAACTGTGTATATAGAACGGAGTGTGTAAATAGAGGATCTGTGGGTGGAGATACAAACCCACCATCCTGGCAGCTTGTTAACTCACTGAGAGAGCTAACTGTGGCCCAGTTCTTGTGCTGGTGGATCCTGTCCTTAGTGGTGTGCTGGATACCAGTGAGATTAAATAGCGGTATACGGAAGAATAAAAACTTAATGAATAGACATAAACACTTCTTAAGTGACTGTAAATGTTTAGCCTGGAAAAGACACAGCATAGCCATCTTAACGTGTCCCACAAAACATCCTATAAGAGGCAAAAGCAGTTGTTTATTGCTTTCCTCAAAGAGAAACCTAGAATCAATAGATAAGTTGATTAGGGAGACAGACAAAAATTAATACAAGAAAATAAGTTCTAACACTGTAAGTCGTCCAACAATGAGGTCTTGTGAACTGCCATGCAGTCTTACTCGAAATAGCAGATTTATTGAAGTGTACACACACTGAACAAGCACTTGAAATAGATTCTCTCAAATATCTCTTCACTCTTAAAGATTTTATTGTTTCACAAAGGCTTTTTGTCTTATTTTTTAATATTAGGGAGTTCAAACGGATTGAAAACAAGCTTGTATCTGTCTAAAGGTTAAATAGTAACTGTAACAGAATGTGGTCAAAATCTTGTCTTGTGGAAACTATTCAAGTTGTAGAGAGTACTTGTGAAGGTTCCATATTTGTGGCAGTCTCACCTTCATTCCCACACCACCTCTGCTTTATCTTGAGTCCGTGTGGTTTCATGTTTTAAAATATTAGCCTGATCTCTAGTGACAGAAGCTCAATGATTTGTGTTTTGAACACAACACAGTGGCAGATAAGCCTAGAAAAAGACAAAACCAGCTCCCAAGACGAGATAAATATGTCTGTGGAACAGAAACACAAAACATAAAAGCTGACCCGTGAGCTATACAGAAAACACCTGCCTGCTGGTTGAATCTGGAAGCTGGCTGAATGCAAGTAGCAGTGCTATCGGGAACTAAAGACAGTAAAGTGCTTCGTGTGATAATGTGGAGCTGAAGCCAGATATTTTTCTTCAAAGTAGGATATGGAGGGAGACTCAAGGGACTCTCTGCTTATTGATGGGAGCCAAAATATTGCACTGCCATACACTGCCTCACCTTATAGTTCCGTGACAGTTGCAGGGTGAGGATGTTACAGTGCCCGGCACTGTAGCACAACCATAGGCAGAATCCAGCCAGTCTCTTCACTTTAAAAATCTGCATATCTTCTCTCCACAGTCTCCAAATCTTGGGGCTTCTGTGTCATAGTCATCATCATTTTCAAAAGTTTCTCCTGCTAAGTCTGACATCAATCGTACAGCACCCCAAGTCATAGTCTTAGGGAGAACTCACTGAGGGGGTGGACTGTGCTGCAGCCTAACCTACTGTCTTCCTGCTGCAAACTTATCCTGTTATTGTACTTGTTATGCTGAAGCTCCATAAACCCTCGGCCATCGGCCGGT